GCCGGTCGATCGGAGCATGAAGCCAGGGGGGGAGAATGCCACTGAGGACGGATAACTTCGGTCGGCGAGGGAAAACAACATATCGCCGGGACGAAGAAAAAGAGTGAGGGGCTCCTGGCGCAAGCCCAACCCCCGAAAAAAATAACGCTCGAAAAAATCGTACGACTTCCGCAGGCCCCGCCTGCGATAGGTTCCCTCGCCGCCCCACCCGAGAAGGACCCAAGCAGCCCCCAGTAGGCGAATGCGTGCCGGGAGAAGCTCGACCCATTAATGAGAGATAATTAATGCGAAATACTCTTCCCTCTCGCCCTTGGCCGAGCTTGATGGTTTTCCCGCGGATGGCGCCTCCGAACGCGAAGCCCAGAGAGACAGCCGGGGGGCACAGGACGCACAGCGGGGCCGCCGCTGGACGATGGGCACCGGCCCTGGCGGGGGGGTATTTTCCGCCGAGGAGTATGAAAAGGGGCGGAGGGGCCCTCTTGTCTCGGCCCCGCGCGCTGCAGGGCGGGGGCCAGACGCGGGCGGAAATATCGCCGAGATAGTGATCACGCTACAGGACCACATCACGCGATGGCGTGGCGTTGGTGCGCCCGATCACAATTAAAGTTAAGCCAGCTCCCTGTGGGCTGACTGATCAACTGCCTGTGGGGCAGCCCTGAGTGCGTTCCCCCCCCCCCAGTCCCACCTCTGCTCCTCTCTCCCTCTCTATTCCCCCATTGGCGGGGCTTTGTCCGGCAGTCTGTGCCCCTCTCGCGCCGAGGCAGCCAAAGACCATAAGTGGCCCCCTGCTTTGAAGAGTTCGGGGCCCCGGACTGGGAACCGGAGAGTCCCCAGAGAGCTCACACACCGGCCACTTGTCCGCGCTCGCGCCAGATTGTCGTGGCTCATGCCTCAGCGGCTGGGCCCTCGGCCAGTGTCATGAGTCGGGACGCTGCCCATGGGCCGTGATCATTCCATGGCCCGTCCCCCGTCGGAGGGCAGTCGCCAGCTGAGGATGGGCCTTTTTCTTCGGGTGCGATGCTGTTGCTGTTGCTGAAGGAGTCCCGCACCGGTGTACGTGCCACATCAAGGCTACGCCAGGCCCTGCGACAGGCATAGGCAGCGCACGGTCCTGTCCTTTCATACGGCGATGGCCAAGGGCATGAAGGGGCCATGTCTTGGTTGTCACCCCGGGCTGTCCATTGTTCTGTGCATTGGAAATGGCTCGCATCCCTTTCCCCCCACCCCCGGCCTATCCATGCTCAAGGTGCGGTGTTCGACAGAGGCCTGTCCTCGCCGAGGGCAGCTTGGCAAGAGGCAAAGTTGGCCAGCACGGTGTCACAGGCTGAGGGGCGTATCTGCACTATAAAAAAAGGGAGACTCCGACCATGCGCCTAACACTCTTCCGACATGCTGCTCTCCGCCGGCGTGTGGGTTTGTTTCCGATGGGACAGTCTGTGCTTGCCACCCTGAAGAGGGGCTCTTCCCCCCCCCTCCCCCGGGATGACCAGGACAAAGCCCTGCTCTTCTTCGGCAAGGGCCAAGTGCGTCGCACCTGACCCCAATACCAAGGCCTGGATCAAGCTCAAACACCTGGAAAGGGCCCGGCATCTGCATCGAGGGACGCCGCGGCCCCTCGTGAGATGCCTTTCGATGGGTCTTCCCAGCCATTCGGCTTCACGCTGCCGCTGGTCCGGGCGACGGCTGTGCCCTATGTCGCCGGACCTGCCCACCAGCAGGGGGAATGCAGCTACATCCCCCTTGCGCTGTTTCTCCCCGTGTGACAATGCTACGCATCGAGACCTCGGCAAAAGGACGCCACTCCGCGCGATCATGAGACGACCCTTGACAGGGGCCGATGTGCGGGCTCTCTCCTGGCCGCGGCCAGACTCGAAGCACCGTTGGCTAGATCGTGGGCTTGCCCCGGGCCTCCCCCCGATCTGGTGATCGCGCCAGTAGGCCGGGTGGGCTAATCCCCCCCGAGCAAAGGGGGAAAATAGGCCACAACACCGGGCAGCATGGGCCCCACCCGGATCGCCGGTCAAGGTCGCTTGTCTCACCAGTCCTGACCACGGGCAATCACTCCGGCTGGGGGATTTTCCCCGCCCCCTTTGGCGCAAGTGCATGCTGGCCCTGGCCATCTTGGGCAACGCGCTCGCGCGCACATGCTCGGCACCTGTGACGCGCGCCGGACCACGGAGACCGGGCACGCGCGCGGTCCCCCAGAGGTGCCAGCGCATTCTCCTGCAGCACCGGGGGCCGGCGTGCGTGGGTGATCGATCTAAATCATGAGAATATACCAGAACGCCTGAGTCATGCGCCGTGACTCGATCGTGGTTTCATGCGCGGTCTTGCGGGGGTGGGGGCGGGGCAGGGGTCCGGCCGTTGGCTGCTCATCTAACTGCCGAGTGCCGGCCGGGTCTACCGCATGGTAGGGGCAAACTGGCACCCCCCTCTCGGTGTCCGCTCGCTTCTTTCCATCTCTCACATCTTGTTGCCAAGTCTTTCTTGGTTCGGCGAGTGTAGTGGCGGTGGTGGCGGGAGCGGGCAAGAGACACTCCATCTGCCGGATTGCTGGGTGGGGGTGACCCCCGCAGGGCGATCCACCAGGTTTCTCAAAAGTCGCCTCGCTCCCAAGGTGGACTTCTCCCTGGCCATATATGTCCTCCACCTCCTGATTCCACTCCACTACCCTCCTCCCTTTCCTCCTGTTTTGCATCAGTTGCCTGGATCACTTCTCCTGAGGCCGCCTCTCCCCTTCGCCTCTTCGTCACCGCCGCCGCCGCCGCCGCCGCTGCCGCCGCTGCCGCCGCCGCCGCCGCTGCCGCTGCCGCTGCCGCCTCAGTCTCCTCCGTTGGGATGGGTGTCTTCCGTCTGACCTCGCTCCTCCTTCAGGAGGTCCCCTTCCAATCGGAGCTCCTCACCCCGTCGAAGGGCAGTCTGCGTGTTTTGCCCATCGATGTCGGCAGCCTGGTGTATGAGCTGTGCCAGAATACCAACCTGTATGAGGGTCAAACTCGAAGCCTGGCCTTCGACCCGCCATTGATTGTCCCATACCTGAGTGCGCTCATTGAATGGCTGTCTCACCATCAGGTATGTTGTCCCCCCCCCCCCTGGCGTCACCCGAGAGCCTGTCTCGCCGGTTTCCTGACCAAAGCCCTTCCTGCATCCATGGGCTCCGTGTTCCTGCCCCTTCTCTTGCGGCTTTCCGACACCTTAGATCTACCCTGTCTTCGTGGCCGACGGCATGAATGCCCCCGAGAAGAGCGCAACTGTGGCTGGGCGCTTTGGCCAGAAGACTCAAAATCTACGCCGCGCCCTAACCAAGTACACGGACGGCTACCAGGCGGCCCCCGACCGTGACGTCTCGAGCCTCCTCCTTGGGATAAGGTGCGTTTGCCGTCCCTCCCTTCCTCTCTCTTCCTCCCTCTCTCTTCCTCTCTCTCTCTCTCTCT